GGTACCCACACATGCATACATATGAACACACACGCATGCACACACAAAGGAAGAATGTGGAGAAGTTGGTAGAGCACTTGCTAGTGTGCGTGGAGTTCTGAATTTAGTACCAGCACCACTTAAACCCGGGAATGGTGGCACAAGCCCGTAATGCCAGCACTCAGGAGGCAGAGACAGGAGGATCAGAAGTTCAAGGTCACCTTCTGCTACATAGCCAGCACCTAGAATACTTAAGACCACGTCTCAAAGAAGGAAGGAAGGAGGGAAGGAAGGAAGGAAGGGAGGAAGGAAGGAAGGGGGAGGGAGGGACGAAGAAAGAAAGAAAGAAAGAAAGAAAGAAAAGGAAAGCAAAGAAAGAAAACAAAGGAAAAGTGATGAATGTTGGTATTTATATGTTATCCTGGCACTTGGTAGGTAGGGGCAGGAGGCAAGGCAGGAGATTCAGTAGTTCGAGGTCGCCCTCAGCTACAACAGGAAGTTTGAAGCCACTCTGGGCTGCCAGAGACCCTGTGTCAAAACAAAACGAAACATAGGAATGCTGGTCAGGATTTGGAGGTGGGAGTGAGGGTCGGTGACACTGTAAGTTAGTGCAAAATGGGTTCAGTGCAGATGTCCCTCAACTCAAGAGTTCTGGTGATGCATGTCTACAACCCCAAGCCAACATGAACCAGCTTGGGCTTCAGGGAGGCCCCATCTCAAAAACAAACAGGGTAGCTAGGCCGCGTTGTGCATGCCTTTAATTCTAGCACTGGGCCAGCTTGGTCTACAGAGAGTTCCAGGAGAGCCAGGGATATACAGAGAAATCCAGTCTAGAACAAAAAAACAACCAAAAATAAAAAACAAAAACAAGCAAACAACAACAACAAAACGGGCTGGAGAGATGACCCAGAGGTTAAGAGCACTGGTTACTCTTCCTGAGTTCAATTCCCAGCATCTACACTGTCACTCGCAACCATCTATAATGAGTCTGGTGCCCTCCTCTGGCCTGCAGACACACGTGCAGGCAGAACACCGTGTATATAACCAAAAAAATCTAAAAAATAAAGAGAAAGAAAGCATTATATATGTATAGTATACATATTTATACGTGAAATATATATTCAGTGATGAAGAAGATTCAAATAATGGCATTTGCAGGAGAATTAATGGAACTAGAGATCATCATATTAAGGGAAGTAAGCTGCCCTCAGAAAAACAATTATCTCCTGTTTATTCTCATACGCAGAGCCTGGGCTTAAAAGCAGAAAGGGCCTAAATAGAGGAAGAAGCCTCGGATGAAGGAGGAGAGCAGGAGAGGCTAATAGGGTGGGAATATGGTCAAATACGTAATCGAATGTAAGAGAGTATAATGAGGACCAGGGAGAGGATGGCTCACTGGGGAAGCACTTATCTGTGCAAGCACCGGAGCCTGAGTCTGGGTCACTAGCACCCATGAAAAAGTCAGGCATGCTCGAGTGCACATGTAATCCCAGCGCTGAGGAGGCAGAGACAGGAGGGTCTCTGGGGTTTGTGGGCCCACCAGGGTAGCCAAGGCAGGGCGCTCTGAGCTCAGGAGAAACCCTGCCTCAAAACGTAAGATGGAGGACTGGGGACATTTGATGTCAATCTCTTGCTCTCTCACACAGGTAGACATGTACACCTGCACACACACACACACAGACAGAGAGACAGACTGATAGCCAGGGACAGAGAGACCATCATGGGCCAGTGACTGTCCTAGGATGCACAGGGCCACTGTTACACTCCAGCAATAATGGATTATCCAGCCCAGAATGCCTGAGAACAGAAGTAAGCCAGCCCACCTCACACACCTTGAAGCTTGCCCAGGAGGCCTGTGCGGGGGAGGGGGGGAGGACAAGGGGGGGCGAGTGGGGGGGGGGCTGGCCCAGCCTGCCAGGAGTGATGGGACTTTCCAGCTCTCCCTCCTGACCTGAAAGCCATGCTGCCCACCCTTCCTGCCCAGGAACTTTCTCTTCTGGACTGCCACACCGCTGCTGGCTCTCCCTCCCTTGGCAGCTCCCCGCTTGGCACAGCACACGCGGCTGGCCGCGAAGCCCTGGGAAAATTCCTAACCTCTGCTTTGGTTTCCTTCGGCTCTTGGCAGCTCCTGGGAGGCCGTCAGCACGTGTGCCCCAGGCTTACTGGGCTGAAGCGCCCATTGTTCTCGCTGCCCTGCTCCTTCTTCTGTCCCCTCCTACGAGGAGCCCCGCTGGGCACCCCCCCTCTCCCAAAGGTGGACTGAAGACCGGGTGTCACAGTCAAGGGCGAATGCAGGGTCTGTCCCCGACCCTGTGTGGCACAGACAGGAGGGGATGCTGAGCCTGAGTGGGAGCTGGGAACCCTGAAGGTCTCCTCCCCTTTCCTTCCTGGACTCTGGTGACCCTGAGTCAGGCCCTCCTCCCACTCCTGGAAATGTGCAGGAGCTGTGTCCCTGGAGACACAGAGAGCCTGTCGCAGGGAGGGGCTGGTGCTTTCTGCATAATGGATGTGCCTCGGCTGCTGTGGCTGCCTTGGCTAGCAGAGGAGCCCATCTCTACAGGTCCTTTCTGACTTGAGGGTGTCCTTCCCGGCAGCCTTGTTCTCTAAGGCCTGCATCCAGAGTTAGTGTGACCGTCCCAGGGAAGTCATCCCCCTGGGGCTTTGTCCCCGGACTGGGAGTGGTGGAGCGGTGGGTGGTATGTATTCCCAGGGAAGGCCAATGCCCATTCAAGAGCCTGGACCTGGGACTGAGTATAATAAGGCTAAGGCGCCTCAGCCCTGTCTCGGGGCTCCTCCATGTGCGCAGAACCCTGTGTCCAGGAGCTGGGTCAGGTACAAGGGCACAGTGTTGCTCCACTCTGCTGCTGTGTGACCTCCAGTGACATGATGAACAGCTCTGGGCCTTGAGCTGCCTGCTAACAAAGTCCCCAGTGTCCTTTCCCTTGGGAAGAGCCTGCGACTGGTAGTAATACTTTATCTTACCACCCTGCATGGAGTGCATTAGGACAGGGAACACCTGACTAAACCCTCATGAAATCTGAGGCCCTGAATGGCGTCCCCCCCCCTCCGAGATGTCACAACGATGTAGAAGATGGGCCATTTCTCCCAGATTCAGCAGGGCCCCTTCCACAAACCCAGTCTCTGTGTCTGAGGAGCCCACATTATATACACAACCAAACCAAGGAAGCAAGAACATCTTCCCTGTGACTTCCAAAGGCGCTCCTTGCTAGTTCCCTGGCCCTGCCCCTGCACACTCTCCAGGGAAGCAGCTAACCATGTCTATTCTGCCCTGGGACCTGGCAGTCTTGGGACACAGGGTGTGGAAGCTCCAACTTGTTCTGTTTCACTGTTCTTGAGTCTAGGGCCTGTCTGGTCCCAGGTCTCTGGAAATCGGAGGGCCAATAAGAGAGCAGGAGGCCCGGCTCTGGCAGCAGAGATTTGGTGACCGATGCCAATACCCACCCCCCAATGATGGCATACTGGAACACAGTGCCTGGGTCCTGTCCCCCTCCCCTTCCCCTGCTGTTCGGGGACCCGAGCGGCACTTCTGCCTCCTGTCACAGGAACATGGGAAGCAATCAGTCCAGGATGCGACGGTGTTTCCTTCCTTTCCCACCAGGCTCTCTGGATACTTCAATAGTTTGGGCTAGGACTGTGGGGTCCAAGTCTCTGGAGATGTGGAAAGGAAGCCCCGGTAGGCAGGAGTCCTAGCTGGGGTGACCTCTGGGCACCCCTTGACCCTGTGAAGCATGCTCAAACCTTTAGTCACTAGAGCCTGCTGCAGCACCGTCCAGGGAAAGATGGAGGGTCCTCTGCTCCCGGGCTAAAGAGCAAACAGGCCCTCTCCACACCCACGAGGCGGGAGAGCAAGGGCCGAAGCTCCTCCCTCCTTCCCTTCACGGTGCGCGTGGGGCGGAACTGCCGACTGGGACCTGCGGCTGCTGCCGGCTTGGGGGGAGAGGGGCTTGGTCCCCGGGACTGCAGTCATTGTGCCCAAGCACCTGGAGTAGAATTGGCGGTGGACAGGGCACCTCTTCCCCCTACGCCAGCAGACCTACCCCCTTCCTCACTAAGCAGCCTAAGCTCCCTCCCGATCACCCTGCGGCTTCTCCCTGGCTAAGCCTGCTCTTTCCAGAAAGCACCCAACAGATATCCCCCGTGAGTGTCGGAACGCGTGGAAACCTGGCCCAGGCAGATCTGTCTGGGGAGTCCTGTCACAGGCCCTATCGTGTGCAGTGGAGAAGCCGTCCGTGATGGGTGTGAGCCTTACAGATGGAGGAGTTCCACCCAGAGAGCTGGGTACGAAAGCCAAGGCCGGCTCCCCTTGGCTGTCGCCTGGGGCAAGTCACTAAGCCACTGTGAGAAAGGTTGTTGGGAACAATAATAGAGATTAAAAGCTGAGCCTCAGAGGCTAGCCCAGCAAGTGGCACCTGCGTTCTACCTTGGATATGTTTAGTCACGAGACTCCAGACCCAGAGTCTAGGCACCTGTAAGCATAAAGAAGATGTTGGAAAATCCCGTCTGGGGTCAGCTATATCCTGTCCATCCAGGAGGCCTCCTGGAGTAGCTCTAGGACTCCCTGCTGCCATGAGCTCTGAGGATCCTGGAGTCCTTACTCATTGTTCAATCTTGGCCTGATACCTAGGGCACTTAGATCCAAAGGCCCCCTCTGGGAGCAGCTGTCCCCTGGGGCTCAGGCTGGGCTGGCCTTGCTGGGGCTCAGCTTTCAGGGCTGAGTTCCTTTGAAGAGCAGGAGTTGTAGCCTCAGCAGCTGGAAGCATCTAGAACATCAGTCCCTCTGAGTCCCATGCCGGTAGCTGATAGAGGGAGGTGCTTTGAAGTCCCAGTAGAAACCCCTGCTAAGGGTCAAGCAAGGACTACCTTAGCATCCTCAGCCTGGGCCCTGAAGTCCCAGATCCAGGAAATTAGTGCCTTTAGCCACAAATCAGCCCATTCCACAGATACGTATCTGGGGCTCAGCTATCATCCCATCACCTCTGGCCTGACCGGGATCTCCTTACCGTCCGATGAGCTCTCTGCTAGTATCTGCAGCCTCTGTTTTCCAGCCTGCAGGCACCCTGGGCCTTTTGGGATCAAAGAACCTGGTACGAGGGTCCTGTGCCCAGGCCCCCGGAAGTCCCCAGACCAGGTACCCCCCGAGGCCCAGCATCAGCGTCAGGATCATGATGAGGGGCAGGCTTAGCTGATCCTGTTGAGGCTCGACCTTGCAAATGGCTCCGAAACTTGCTGGCAATGTGGTCTTCAAGTAAAATCTCAGAAAGAAAAGAAAACATGGGGACAACAAAGGGAGGAAGTGGCCTGGTCCGGCCCACTGGGTAAGTCTCATCCGCCCCCCCCCCAGCCTCTGAGGTCATCAACCACTCAGGCCAATTCCTGTGTCCTAAGGGCACTCAAATCAGGACGTTGGGGGTGTGGGAGACACATGAGGGTGGCCTTATCAAACCATTTCTACAGGACGCCGTTCTGGGTCTGGAGATAGAACGGTAGAGAGTGTCAGCCACAGGAGAGCTAGTGTCACCCCCACACCGCTGGCCAGGAAGTGGGGAGCGGGCACCGCATGCCTTCTCAGCACCTTTTGGTGCTGGGCTATGGGAGTCAGCTGTGGGTGGAAGCTCAGAGGAGGAAAGGAACCATACTAGAATCACACAGCATACCACCCAGTCCTGGGCACGGCAGAAGCTTTGTGCGTTTCTGGTCTCGGCTTTCCGACAGGTTTGACTGGAGCTCCCAGCTCAGGGACATCCAGGATGCTGTGGGTAGCTGGACAACCAGGGCAGCCAGCGGGTTGGTCACTCACTAGACAGGCTGTGACCCCTGCCAACCTGGGAAACTGAGGCATCAGCACTCCTGCCAACCTGAGACATCAGCCGAGGTGCTTGTCTTCTTGGGCACAAGAACACCATGGCTTTCCAAGGATGAATGAGGGACAACGACAGATTAGGCTATGTCTAGCCTCCTGCAAGCCCCCCTCCCCTGGGATGACAGGAGGCAACAGGGCAGAACTGAGCCAGTAGGGGCCCGGGCCCTGCTCTCTGGTATCCGCCCCCACCCCCGGGACAAGCTTTTCTCCAGCCCGCCCTCCCTGCCCCCTCCCTGCCCTGGGCTGGCTGGGCTCCAGGCAGCAGCCACAGCATCAATATTTCATCCGCGTCAATAAGAGGCAGCGGCAGGGACAGCGGCTGCAGAAGCGCTTGCCGGCTCCAGTCAGTAGCTTGCGGCAGTCCCATCCGGTCCTTGCCACCACCATGGACGTCTTCAAGAAAGGGTTCTCCATTGCCAAGGAAGGTGTGGTGGGTGCCGTGGAGAAGACCAAGCAGGGAGTGACGGAGGCAGCTGAGAAGACCAAGGAGGGGGTCATGTATGTGGGTGAGTATGGCAGGTGGGGCGGGGCAGGGCGGGGCAGCGGGCTCCCTAACGGAGGAGGGCAGGGTCCCACTGCCTTCCCTCTGCTGGTTCCCCCTAGATTCTGGGGAGCATTTTGTGAGAGGTGAAACCCTGATTGTTGAGGCAGGGTCCACACACCCTGGAGAACATGCCAGTATCCAGTTGTCTTCGGAACTTTGCGGGGAGGGACTCAGGTCTCCAGGACAAGATCAGACTGCCACTCAGACCATCTGAGTGTTTACATGCAGATGCACCACACGCATGCCTGGGGTTTCCTAAGCCTGGGGACCCGGAGGCAATGATCTGCTCATGTGGAACCCACTTTCTCCAGTGGGAGCTGTTGCAGCCAAGCCAGGCCACATGACCCCCCATTGGCCTAGAGGGAAGGGGTAGGCTGTGGAGATGGGCCCAGCCGAGTGTTGAACCCACCCCGGCTCTCTGGTCTCCCTCCAAAGAGGGGGCAGGGGTGGCCAAGCCTGTGACTCAGCTTTCTCTACCCTGATCAGCTGCTGTTTCTGATGCCCGGGCCACACCCATGTGAGGACCATAGACCTACCAGTAACCCTACCTTAGGCCTGGTCTCTTTTGTCCATTCTTCCTGTCCTGTCTCCTTCCCGTCTGTTCTCTGTCCTTCAGACATAGCAGGAAGTGTCCCTTTGAAGGGGCTGATGTCCCCAGACACCATCCCCACCCCCACCCCGCCCCACCCCCGCCCCAGGATGTCCAGCTATTCATCTTGACTGACTGAACACTTTTTCCCTCCAATAGGTACCAAAACCAAGGAGAACGTGGTGCAAAGTGTAACCTCAGGTAAGGTGGCCCACAGTTAGGGACCCCAAGGTAAGGCCCATAATTAGTGACCCCTAGGTAAGGCCCATAATTAGGGACCCCAAGAGTCCTGCCCTATACCCAGGGCCTCACCTAGAGTCCTCTTTGTATCCATTGGGGCCCAAAGCCCCAGGTGACCCAAAACATTATATCCCCCAAAGAAAGACCAGAATAGGCTCCTGCCCTCCCCCCCCCGTTGCTGCCCTAGAGTCAGAGAAAGGCTTGGACGTAACCAGGATCCAGACATCCCAGCTCTGGGAAGGGGCTGTTCTCCCCAGCTTGGGTAGACAGCGGTGGAGAGGGCCCGGGCTGAGTCCAGCCGGAATCCTCTGCAGTGGCTGAGAAGACCAAGGAACAGGCCAACGCTGTCAGCGAAGCTGTGGTCAACAGTGTCAACACAGTGGCCACCAAGACCGTGGAGGAGGCAGAAAACATCGTGGTCACCACCGGGGTGGTGCGCAAGGTGAGCCCGGCTCCCGTCCTTTCCCTGGGCTCCCTGGCAACAGAAGACATTGTTGGGCACATAGGGGAAGAGTGTTAGACACGGCCTGACTTCACAGGCAGCACCCATTGTGTGTGTTGGGACGACTTGGTGTCTTTGTACTTGTTCGTATCTGGAATCCTAACTGCACCCCTAGAATCCTAACCGCACCCATGCCCAGCCCATCACTGGGAATAAATCTTACAAGTAATCCAGACCCTACACGGTGAAAGGCAGCCTTCTAGACAGGCTAAGGCTTCCTAACCACCACCAGGGCTACCTGCCTGCTATCCTTTGTCCAACCTCCCTCTGTCCCATGGTCTGGCTGCTGCCTCCCCATGAAGAGTTGGGGGAAGCTCTGCCCCCTTGTGGTGGACAAGCAGCAGGGCTCTGGCTCCACCCTCTGCTGAAGTCTTTGTGTGAGCGTGTGGGTTGTGTGTGTGTTGTAGGAATGGTGGAGATGCATGTGATGCATGTGTGCGCGGGTGTGTGTGTGTGTGTGTGTGTGTGTGTGTGTGTGTGGCAGGCAGCTGAAAGAACAGGGCCATCATGCTCTCTGGGGATAGATGCCAGAGGTCGGAGCTGCCTCAGCACTAGCCAAGCAGTAAGCTCTGCTTTAAGCATTTTACACTTACCCTTCTGGCGGGCTCCTAAACCACACAAGACGGATATGGAAAGGAAATCCAGAGACATTAGGTGGTGCCACAGTCGCATGGCTAATCTGTGTGAGCATGGAGCCTCCGTGAGTAGCCAGCTCATGAGCTATAGTCTTGGAAGACTGAGTAAAGAGAGTGCAGGCATGGGGATTCCAGGATCGAGGCTGGGGAGGAAGCCGAGTCCAAAGATTTAGTGTCTTGTCACAGCCCCCATACTTACCCCAATGATGGAGCTCTGAGGGGCGGGTGGAAGGGGAGGGGCTCCCACCCCAACACCCGCTGCTAGGGCCAGCCCAGGGTCCCTTGTCACTGGAGTGTGCAGGTGTACCTCTGTATGACTTTGGAAAGAGACTATCCAGATCCGCATTTCCTCGTCTGAAGCATCGCATGGGGCTGTGGGGTAAGGCAGAGAAAGGATGCCAGGAAGCAGTTCTGCCGGGGACCCGGTGAGCACCCACCACCACCATCGTCATCACCACTGTTACCAGTGCTGTAAGCATCCCGGGAAGCATCCTCCCAAACCCCTAGCAGAAGGATCCTAGGAGCAAGTTTCAGGCTACCCCTGGCTAACCCCAAAGAAGATACCGAGCCCTTGGAGCTGTACCAAGGAAGAGTGACACGTATGTGACCTGGTGACACATAAGCTAATTCTGACACTGAACCCTAGCCCTACCAGAGAACGTCAAGAATGCAGCATGGCTGTCTGGCCACTCGTGCTGTGGTTTCAGGCGCCGTTCTTGGGGTAGTATGCCTAGGCAAGCAGTTGCTTGCCCCTTATCCAAAGAGCCTGGTTCTGTGTGACCCTGGCTGACAGTTCTGCGTCCTTTTGCCTCTCATTGCTTTTGGCCTCCGAGGCAGCACCGGTTCTGAGAACAGACTTCAGACAGACCATCAGTCCTGTTCTAAACTCCCTGCCGTCATGACCACGTAAGCAAACGCTGTGGCGAGGCGGGAGACAGAAGACAGGCCTGAGTCAAGAGCGCATGCATCCCAAAGGCCAGAAGAGGGGCCTGGAGCAAGCAGGACCTGTGCCAACCAGCCCTGACAATATGGGCTCTGAGGCCTTGTGTTAGTAGGCCCTGACCTCTGTCCTCAGGGTCTCTGTGAACAAGGATGGCATGCTGCTATCCGCACGGCCTGAGTGGGGAGTTCATGGGATTCGAGGGTCTCTGCCCACTCCCAGCCCTTACTCCACATCCTCCAGGCCTCCTCGCCTAAGAAGCCTAAGCATATAGGGAGGCAGGTACCCACGACACGACTCGGGATCTGTTTGTGGGAGATGAAGCTGGGTTGCAGGGTGTCTGGTACACGCAGACGCCTTGGGAATCTGGCTCCAGACGTTCTAAGTACAGTGAGATGGTGAAGAGCCTCCGCTCCTCGGTGAGACCTGGCATGGGAGCCCACGTATCTTCCCACGGCCTCATGTCCTCTTTGTGCCCCTGCAGGAAGACTTGGAACAGCCTGCGCAGGGCCAGGAGGCCTCAGAGCAAGAGGAGAATGAAGAGGTAAGAGCAGGGCTCCCAGGGTACAACCAGAAAGTTCTGATAGAAGCCTGAGTCCTGGGAAACCTTCCACAGCCTCCCACAGGGACGTGGGTGTGGCAGCCCTGGGCGTGATCGCCTCCTGAGTGACCCTTTCCAGGCAAGGGGCTGAGTGTGTCTCTCTCTCTCTCTTCCTTCCGCCCCTCCCTACCAGGCTAAGAGTGGAGGAGACTAGGACGCTGCCATCAGCCCCAGAGACCAAAGAGGCACCCCTCTTCCTTGGACCCTGTCCCTGCCTGGCACAATAAGTGCCCCGCCTAGAGTGCCCTGCAGGTTGCCCATGATCTCTGCTCCTCAGCCCGGTGCCACAAGCCTGTCCACACACGCTGCTGCCAGCGCCAGCGCCCCCTGCTGGCTCCTTTTGTCCTATGGTCCTTTGGATCCCACAGATCAGATGCTGCTGTGATTTTTTTTTTAATGACTCCAAATAAAACCTGAGCCCCACTCTCACCCATGGTCCTTCTGTGTGCTGCGCCATCACTCATGAGGGCCCTGGACATTCCCAGGGGACAGACATCTGCTCAGCCTTTGACGGGACCAGGTACACTTGAAGACATACAGAGTTAGTTCTGGAACCTGTGCCTTCAGGAGCACTGTCCCCTCACAGCAGTAGGGTGGTGGCCTTTCTCTCAGCTCCCCAGATGACAGATAGTTGGCCCTTGTCAGCAGGAGTGCAGCTAGACAGACCCGGTTTCAGCCCCAGCGTCCCTTTAGAGTGGGGTCCCACCACAAGCCTGGTTCATCGTGTCTCAGGTGGGCAGAGGGTGACGATGTCTGCACAATTTCAGCCTGTGTGCTATGGGGACAGGGGCACCTCATGCCTTCCCCAGAACACGCCGACAACCGTAGTGAGGACAGACATAGCAGAGCAGAATGACCCTCAGGCACCTCCCGCCTGGCCCCAGGCAGGCTCACACAGGTGGGCTTTAATTTCCTGCCTAGCCTACAGGACAGCATAAACAAAAGAAAGCAGCCCCGGTATATTTGGGACTGGGAATATGGCTCAGTGGTAGACGGCTTGCCTACCAAGCAGGAGGTTTTGAGTTCGGTCCTCAGTATTGCAAATGAATGACTAAACACAGGCAGTGCCAAGGCTTCCAGGGTTCTATTTCAGAGTCCCCACCCCTCCAAAATTTCAAAAGAGCCAGGCACTCAGCCTGACTTCGGGTCAGCACTGAGCTGTCTCATCCTCGGGAACGTTCCTTGTCTTGGACACTCAGTTTGGGTTCAGAACTTTGAAGTGACTTTGTCCAGGCCTCCAATGCCAAAGCCAGAACTGGAGACCACGCTGGCCCAAGACGCTCGTCTCCAACCCAGCTTGTGCCATAGGGAGCAGGGGTCAAGGGGAGCCCAGCCCACCTGGCCCTGAGCTGCCGTATGCAGGTGCGTGAGTCACAGGCAGCCACACGGAAGAGGAAGGAGAGAACTGAGGGTCGATGGTCCCACGGATAGAAGGAAGGGTAGGGGGGTGAGGACAGGCAGGGTGCTCCTGAACACACCTCCTACGGCGACTCACACATTTCAGGAAGCTGTGCCCACCTGGGAGATCGATGGCCAGAAGAGAGAGCAGAGGAACAAGGCTAGCTTGGGTGACTTGGGACAGAAGAAGGGTCTCTCACCTTCCAAGAGCCCCTGAAGTCTCTGCTCCCCCACCCCCTCTTCCAGACTCAAGTGACAAACATCACGGCCAGCCTACTCCAGGAAGACCCTTCCCCAGCCTGCAGGCACCTGCAGGGGTCCCAGCCTTTAAGCCCGTTCACACGGTCACTCGTCCTGAGCTAGCCTCTGGAAAAGGAAAAGCGATGTTCTTTCTGGCCTTACACCTGAGCTCACTCAAGAAGCTCCATCTCGGTCTCCTAAAGGCTCTTGGGTGTGTTGGGCTGTGATTTTGGAAAAATAAACCTTCCAAACTCAGCGGCTTTCAACTGACTTCCTTCTCTTCTCTCTTTTTCCTTAAAAGTTAAATATTGATTGGATTTTTAATTTTTTAAAAAATTATATGTATATGTGTGTATCTGAGTGTGGTTTGTGCACATGAGTGTGGTGCCCCCCAGAGGTCAGGAAAGGGTATCAAACCTCTCGGAGCTGGAGTCAGAGGCAGGTAAGAGCCGCCCTCCATGGATGCTGGGACCCAGTTTCTGATTCTCTGAAAAAACAGCAAACATTCTTAACTGCTGGGGAGCCATCTCTCCAGCACCCCCCTCCCCTTAAATTTAACTTTATTTTTTCATGACAGGATCTCACTGTGTAGCTCTGGCGGTCCTGGAACAAGCTATGTAGACCAGGCTGGCCTCAACTCGAAGCGATCTGGCCTGTGTCTGCCTCCCCGGGAGTGCTGGGATTAAAGGCGTGAAACACCACACCCATCTCATGCAGTGCAGACTGGCCTCAGACTTACCATGTTGCTAAAGGAGCCCCGAACTCCTGACCCTCTTAGCTTCATCTCCCGAGGGCTGGGATCACAGCAGGGCACCCCACCCATTCTCCTGCCTCCTCCTCCCCGTGCTGAGGTCATTGCAGCACATGCACAGCTGCTTTTGTGGGTACTTGTGGTTTTCTTCTTGGTTTTGTTGTTGTTGTAGCTCAGTAGCCCGGAATGGCCTCAGACTTGGCAGTGATCCTCTCTGCCGTAGACTCCCACAGTGCTGGAATTACAGGTATGAACCACCACACTGGGCTTTTAAGTTGACTGTAAAAGTCACTAATTTTGGGCCAGCGAGATGGCTCAGGAGATGGAGTGCTTGCTGCTGAGTCTAATGTCATGGGTTCAATCCCCGGAACCCCATGATGGAAAGAGAGAAGTGCCTCCTGCGACTACTCCAGCCTCCATTCATTGTGAGACCAATGTGTGCCCGTGCTCTCTCTCACACACAAATAAATAATAAATATTTTTTTCTGCGTGGTTTCTCTGTGCAGTCCTGGCTGTTCTGGAACTTGCTATGGTAGGCTAGGCTAACCTTGAACTCACAGAGACCCGCCCTGCCTCTGCCTCCTGAGTGCTAGGATTAAAGGTGTGTGCCACCACTGCCTAGCAAAATAAACAATCTTTCAATTTTTCTTTTAAAATATCCAGGTGTTGTTGGCGCACTCCTTTACTCCTAGCACTTGGGAGGCAGAGGCAGCAGTTCTCTGAGTCGGAGACCAGCCTGGTCTATGGAGCAAGTTCCAGAACAGCCAGGCCTACACAGAGAAACCCTGCCTTTTTTTAACCCTGTCTTGAAAAAAAAAAGAAAAAGAAGAGAAAACAAGTGAAATATCACTAATCTGGGGCCAGGTAAGGTGAATAGCTCTACTTGCTGAACTCGGGAGACAGAGCCAGGGGAATGAAGAGTTCAAGGCCAGGCAGGGCTGTGGGAGGGGGGTGTCCTGAGATAGGAAGAGTGAATCAAGTAAATCACCAAATGCAGCGAGCAGCACAGAGTCCTCCAGTGCTTTGTGCACATACACCTCTGCCACACGGGCTGTGATGCTGACAGTCACCTACTTCACCGGGCCTGTCAAAGTATGTTAAGGGTGACTGACACGTGTTTCCTTAGCCTTGGGGTCAGGCTTCCACTATGCAGATAGGCATGGTTGTCAGTTCAGGGATGTTTGTTGAGGACTGGCAGTCAAGACTGATGTGCCCTAGACTCACCCAATCCCTCTCCTTCCCATTCAGGGCTGAAGACATCAAGATAAGCAGGACTGTGTAAATGATTCTTTCTCTGTCCAACCAGCTGGCTCCCAAATAACCACACGGAGACTTGTTATTTATTCTGAAAGCTCTGCTGATAGCCTAGGCTTGTTTCTAACTAGCTCTTATAACTTAAATGAATCCATTTCTGTTCATTTACACGCTGCCATATGTATTGCCTGTTCAGCTCCTTATTAAGCCAACCAGAGTGACACATCTTCACAGTGTACGAAAATATTATTCCACAACGGGACGACAGTGCTGTTTGAAAACTGATACGGGCATCTGGATCTGTGACATCACAGGGCTGCAGGCCCATTGGAGAGGTTCCTTCAAGTGTCCAGCTGCCCAGCCATTCTTTTCCTTGTGCCTAAGAACAAAGGGGTGTGAGTTATCTGAGTTTTGCTGCAGGACACTGGCCTACATCTTCTCATCTGTTGGCATTCTGAAGAAATCTTCGTCACTCACTGGACACCTTGATCATTCAGCAGATAGACTTGGGTTTGGGAGTAAACACCTATGAATCCACTTAATGTCCATGAAAACACTTTAGGGGCCGGGTGTAGTGGTGAAAGTGGTCAGATGGTGGTGGCGCAAGCCTTTAAATCCAGCACTCAGGAAGCAGAGGCAGGCAGATCTCTGTGAGTTCGAGACCAGCCTGGTCTACAAGAGCTAGTTCCAGGACAGTCTCCAAAGCCACAGAGAAAGCCTGTCTTGAAAAACAAACAAACAAACAAACAAAAAAAACAAAAAAAAAACAAAAAACCAAAACCTACCAAACAAAAAACCCAAACCAATAAAAAAACAAAAGAAAGAAAGAAAATTGAGCAGACCAGGGCATTTCTGCCCTCTGTCTAGCTGGTCTGGGTGACCAGTGGCAAACTCTTTCCCTTGCCTGACAAAGAGGAACATAAAGTCTTGCCTTCAGGGTCTCACGTTGCCCTCCTGTATCTGCCCTGGTTGGATCTCAGGGTCCTGGGGCACACAGTCCATCCTCGGTGCCAGAGCCAGGTGGAGACAGGGGTTCTGTGTTCACCAGGGTTTTACTTTACCCTCCCGTATCTGCCCTGGCTGCATCTCAGGGTCCGGGACACACAGTCCACTCTCGGTGCCAGAGACGGGTTCTGTGTTCACCAGGGCCCTGGAGTTTATGCCCATTGCGATAGATTTGAGTCCTGATGTGAGAGTTTGAATAGAACCCTACTGACCTTTCTGCCTCAGTTTCCTTCTGTAAACCCATGTTATCTCAGCTCGCTACATGATTCTAAAAATTGTACGGGAAACTGTAAAGCAGTGTGTGTGTGCGTGCATGTGTGTGCGCGCGCCAGTGCACACGCACCCGTACGCTCTTGAAAATGCTCAATAAAAACCCTGCTACTATTAGTAGCAACTTAGGCTTCCAGCTCCCAGGATGACCAGGTGGAGTCCCCAGCTGAGGAGGAAGGAAGCGCGCCCACTGAGTGAGTAGTCTCCCTTTCTGCCTTCCTTAGTCGCCTTCCCCACTCTCGTTAGATCTCTGCCTTCCCTGTGAGGAACCCCCAGGAAGTGTCCCCCCCCACCTCACCACTCATACCCTCTTACTCCCTATTTCTCCCCAAAGCTGAGAAATCTGTCTGCTGACCCTCGTAGGATGAGCTGGCTCTGGGCTATTTAAAGAACCCTAATCAGGCCTGGCTGAGGCGGCATGAGCCTTTAATCCAGGAGGCAGAGGCAGGCAGATCTCCAAGTACAAGGCTAGCCTGGTCTAAAGAGAGTTCCAGAACAGGCTCCAAAACTA